AACCATTCTGTGATTCTATTCCAGTTTGACTGGTCTGCTGCCACATGCTGTTCAAACTGGTGCAATTTGCCACAGCCACGCGGTCCCGCTCCCTTGCCTGCCGCTGGCAGAGCAGCGCTGTGATTGATGGACGAGCTGGTTCTGGGCACTGCCGGGCCGGGGAAAAACTCATGGAGCATGCTGGCTCAGCACATTCACAGCAGGGCCAGGTAACACCAGTGTTGCGCTTTAGTTGGACCTGGCTGTGGCAAGATCGCTGTGTCTCTGACGTGCCGTGGGGCTGTCCCTGTGGACACTGGGCAGTGAACTCAGCTGGCATTTCCATCCCCACTGCCCCTTGTGTAAAAAGGGATGAGGAGCGCGCCCGCAGGCCTGCACCCAGCCTGGTCTGTCACCTCACACCATGCTAGCTCTGGAAACCAGACGAGTTTAGTAGTTTAAGTTTGCATGTAGAAGGTACAAGAAGTTGAAAAAAACAGGATAATGCTTGAAGTACCCCCCCTTATCCTAGGGCTGATATTTAGAGCCACAAATTCTAACAACAGAGTAACAGTGCCTGCAAATCCTTCCGTTTGGCCCCCAAGACATGTCCGTCTGGGCCTGCTGTTGCGAGTAACATTACAGGCTTCGTTCATCCCTTGAAGAACTGAAACAACTGGACTTGTTCCACCTTGGTGGATCATGCTAGCCTCTTCTCCAAAGGGAAGGAACACAGCGTGTGCCTTAGGGGAAGTGGACCTGAATTTGTACAGGCTTAATATTTATCCTTTCTGCTTTTATATTTGGGTAACTGAAGACACAATTGTAGCTAAAACCAACTTTCCTTCTGCAAAGCAAAGGCAATATTTATGTGGACTTTTCAAGGTCGTTTTTTTCTCGCAAGATTCTGATCCGACGTCACAAAGCTCGGACTGACAGCTGAAGAAATTACCGCTACAGCGTATTGATATTTAAAGTGCTGATCCTGAAAATGCCAGCACAACAGAGCCCTGGAAACACAGGAGCCATGGATACCTCCATGTGCAGAGAGGTGTCTCCGCAGGGCCACTGGAGGAGTCAGGTGGTGTCTCGTCAGATACTGAATAACGTTGAGTTGTGTTTCGCTAAAGCCAAGTTACAGCGCAGGGGAGGGGCGGGAAGAGAAGTGTGTGACAGTTATGCAGAAGCCTAGAAGAGTGGCCCGCCGGCTGTCTGCTCAGCATCACAGCACCCAGTTTGACAATGACAAATAGCAACGGATGGTCATGGAAAGCAATTGTATATAAGCACAATTAAAACTTCTGCACCCACAATACAACGCATGCAAATGAGTGGCATCACTTACGTTTCTGTGCCTGTGGCTTTCTAGATACAAACATCCATATGAGTGTGCCAGTAAATCAGATCTCTTCATTCTTTTTCCTTGCTGCCAAATACTGAGGTTGCTTGAATCAGACGACTGGATTTCTGACCCATGGACACCGTCTTTCAAGTCTTCAGGCTGTTCCATTCAGAAAACTCCATTTTAAGACCGTTCACCACCTAGAGAGGATTGCAGCCACAGATTAATTTGTCTTTCCTGGGCCCACGCACTTCTGGGTGCACTTTACAGTGGCGATGTGGCAAAGGCACCGCCGGCTGTCACCGCTAGCTTGTTCACCGCTCACAAAGCTAGCCCAACATCTCCATCACGGGCTGGTGTGTTTGATTGTTTGTTTAAAATGTGTTTTCTTTCATTCCACTGCTTTTAAATAAAAAGTGGAGTAAATAACTAACTTTCGGTATCCAGAACTCCAAAAAAAAAAAAAGACTTGAGGAAGGGTGCATTTGGCAGATCTTACTGGTCCTTCCACTGTGACCGAATGGAACTGTCATTGGAAACAGTCACTGGCAGGGCAGGGTTGCTGCCCAGTTGCTGATGGTAACCCCGCGTACAGAACGAGCCGTCTCCTCAGGAGCACAATAATGCACAGGAGGCCAGGAAAACAGTACTCACTCTTGAATTTCTAAGTGTAAAAAAAGCATGATACAAACTTATGTGGAATGCACTGGAGGGCTCTGCCACCACTTGTTTCTTCACACCAGAAGGCTGCATGTCGGGAGTGTGTCACGTTGAAAATTTTCCAGTTTCTATTACAGAAATCACGCTTTCAATTCTAAGTTCAGGAAAAAAAAAATCCCCTTCAGCTCCCCCAATAAAATGATAAGGCTGGCATGATCTTTGAACTATTGTTACAGATAATGACAATAATTAAATTTTAACTGCACCTAAAGTGCAATTGTCTGGCACTTCATGTTATTTCACAGTGAGAGATCACCAAAATGATTTTGAGGCAGGTAGCAACATCAGTTCTACTCACAGCACAATGTCTGGTTCCTTTTAAGCGGGCTAAATACATAAGTTTAAGGGCTACATATAAGTCTGTCTGGAGGCTGACAATGGCTAACCTCCAAGGATTTGTTTTTGTTGTGCTGTGTGGGTTTTTGTTTTTTCATAAAAAAGGTAATTCATTGCATAAGATGAAATATATTCATTTATTACCCTGTATTATGTTATGTGTGAAGATGTCCAGCTTGCTGATATTTACAGCTCTGCCACCGTATAATTCATCTCTCACAAACCCACAAAGCAAGTTTGCGAAGACAAATGTCTCAGATATAAACATCAAGTCTGGTACATTATGCATCAATACATTAAGATTTAATGTGGTATCAGATCAGAAAGGACCTTGCAAAGAAAGTCACGCTAAATGAAAGAGTTAATCCTTACTTTTCATCTTTGCTAAGTCAGCATCTTATGCACCTGGCACCAGCATCCAAGTCCTGTTAGAGCCGCACCAACTGAAACCAGAACGTGTGAACTGTCAGCTGCACGGGAAGCACTTCCTAGTTATACACTGAATTTCTCAAGGGAACGTGACCGGTTTTCTTTGCTGTCCGATGCACCTTGTGCAGTGTGTACTTGGAAGATTAAGCAAGGTTTTGTCAGCTTCTTTCCCCTCCCAAGGGTAACATTTCTTAGCAAATAGAATCCAAATTCAAGGCCTAGTTATGCTTTCTCAAGCACTTTTACACACCCATTCTGTAGAAGTCCACAGAGAAACACAGCTATCATTCCCGCCTTCAGGAGTAAGTGAACATGGCAAGATTCACACAAAGACGCCGAGGGGACAAAACGCAAGCGTGCTTTTGGACAGTATCTGCCATTTTTAAAACGCTGTGAGAGGAGAAAAAGTAAGTAGGAAGCCTTTCTGTCATCCTCCATCCGGAGCAGCTGACCCCGCGTGGGCTGCAGCATGAGTGGAGAAGCTCTGCGGAACTGGTGTCCCTCAGGCAGGGCTGGAAAGCCCAACAGTGGCTCGTTCACTTACCTCCTCAGAAACAACTGGAAATACTCTGGTGGTCTCTGAGCATCACGAGTTCATTTCAAGCTCACGCTTTGGTTTAAAAAACTCTGCAAAGACTTTGCAGAACCGTGTTTCTGTCAGCGGTGGGGACGGACTCCGGAGGCGGGCGAGAACAAGGGCACGCAGCTACGTGCACTTATCGTAGGCGACTTCAGCGCAAGGGCACCCTTCACAGCCTCATGATGAGCGATACAGAGGTGGGCCAGGAACACCAAACAGGGGGGGTGAAGCAAGAAGATTGCATTCAGGACTTTTTTCATGCATCAATATTTTGACTTCACATGCTACTTGCAGGTGGAAGTTTCCAGCAGGAACAAGAGAACTCTGGCTGGCACCGGCCACTCTGGCGCAGGCTCCTGTGTCACCGGTAAAGGCACAGTTGCACAGTCTTGCCTGTCCAAACACAGACTGTGGACATCCTTAACCAGCAAGGCATTTTATAACATTTTGTCCCACAAGCTAAATGCCGTATTCTGACAGGAAAAATGAGCAGGAGTCAAAATCAGGCTTCTTTGGAGTACTGTTACTGGAAAGGAGAGCCGTAACTACGTGAGTAAGCCTCATCTTCCACTTTCACAGGCTAAGCAGATGGTGACCTGATTAGTTCTTAGTCTCAGGAGGCTGCTCATCTCCCTGTGCCCTCAGCTCCTATTGTCAGCATCTTATTATTTCACTCATTCTTCATGATTTTAGCTGACTACATTTTTTAGTCTTCTATTTTGAGACATGAAGGAAAGATTACGTAGTGACTCTTAAAATGTGCTCACAGCACAGTAAGAGGAGATTTGGATTAAATGGCGGGGGAAAAGGCAGAATCCAGACCTGGAAATGTTTATTTACCTACTGCGGTTCTATTAACCTTAGGGATTATTCCCACAGACCAATGTCCATGGGCAAGTCTTTGCACCAAATTCAGCAAGCTAGTTGTATTGCCTTTCCTATTTACAGCCTTCCGTGAAGGGCAGGGAAGATGTTAGCTTGACAGCGGTTCTTTCTTCAAACAATCACATAACGAAATCTGCTATACAGTTAGGAGGAAACTAGCATTGGGTACTGCTCATATTCAGAAACCACAGCACGAGCTAGGCAGCATGAACATGGCGATAACGCAAAACAGAAATAAAGTAGCTTTAATAACATAAATGTAAAAATTCCCTTTGCCCTGAATTTTAAAAACTGAAGTGTAACGTATTCCACTCAGCAAGAATTAATTATCTCTAACCCTATTTTGTAGCATTAGGGGATAAGATGACTTGATGGACAGGATCACAAATGCATGCCATTTAGCAGTATGTCAAGTAAGCACATGGCATTTTTTTTTTTACCAATCCAGACCCACTAAATATGTGATTTATACTTTTTTTTCCAGGTCAAGAAGTTAGAAAGCTTAAGACCAAAAAAAGTGCTTTGCTGATTTTCTTGTGAGGGGCTAGCAGTTGTTCGGCTCCGTGTTGGAAGTTTTGTGTGTGTGCCGATGTAACTTTGATATCTCCAGGAAAAAGGCTGCAAACGCTTTGGTTCCTTCAATGTAGTTGTGTCTGTGAAAGAAGGAAAGAGAGAATGAAGCCCTGTTCTGCTGTCCAAATTAGTGACACAGTCCAGTGAAGTTCTCAGTATCTTCAGAGAAATTGGCAAGATTGGCCACTGAAGAGAACCTACACAAACAACCCTCCTTATTACAAGAATCACTGCTTCATTAATGACAAATTTTGCATGTGAAATCGCCCTCTGTCTTGTAACGTGACTTATTCTGGTTCAGGAGAGGGGTAAGAAGAAAACCAGCTCTCCAAGGATGAGAAAAGGATTGCTGCGTTTCAGCTCTCTGTTCACGCCCACTGGGATGGCAAATCTCAGTCACAAACACGACTGACCCAGCCAAAATACACGGTCGGAGAGGGGACTTCATTTTTCTGTCCTGTGCAAAAGGCACAGATCTGGCTTCCTTTCACTCAGGTACACTGCAAAGAACAGCAGGAAGAAACAGCTTCCCAAAAAAGGGACCAAGTGCACAGAAATCCTGGACATCCTGCCATTGGCATTCCCCTGATGGATTCACTGAGAGCTTTTTCCAGTGTTCTGTCCCCTAATTACTATTGTCTGCAGCCACGAGGGTTGAGGCTGTGCTGAGGGGAAACAAAAAATGATGAGTTGTGAGTTACTAAACTCGATGTGACACGACTCAGAAGCTGCACAAATGGTCAGGCAGCACATTGAACAGCATCTTACCATGGCTCCTCAAAGAATGAGCACAGGTGCGGAGGTTATGCTTATTTTGATATAATTACACTAGCTTTGGTCCCTATAACAGAAATGCACCTTTACATCCATTTATACTGAAAAACCATCTCAATCCTATGTAACCATTAGCCTGCGTACATCCGACCGGCGTATTTAGACATGGATGCTGTGATGGAAGAGTGCCCGCCTGCATCGTTGCCTGTTAGAGCAGAGGCACGTTTCACCGGCAGCGCAATGGAAATGGCTAATGTCTGCCACTTCAAGACCGAGGAAACGCTTCACGAGTAGTATGTCGGGGAAGCGACAGACTGATTTTTGTTTTCTGCTCAGCACAGCAAAAAGTTTGCCAGAGACAGCAGTTTGGGACTGTCCAATGGCGAGCAAAGCTTCCCCTCTGGCAGTGCTTATGAGTGTGTACCCAGGGATTTTGGGTCTCCCCCCTTCTCTTATAGCATAAAATGACCAATAAAAGAAACCTGCTAATCTTCTCGTTCTGGGAGTGCTCCCCATCATCAGCTGCTCCGATTGGAAACATCACCACGCTTTTCTGTGTTATAGTCTGAAACATTCTGGCAACAGGGATTGTTGAGCCATCCCGAATAAAGTCTGGATCTTCTCCAAAAACTGAAAGGCATGGAAGGAAGGAATTCACTATTGAGGGAAATAAAGGTGCTTTCTTCTGCTACCAAATATTGGCTATCTGCTCAAACCTCAAGAGGTTTGAGCGTGTAGCCAACTAATTTCATGAATCGGTTGGACCCCCAAAACCTCTGGCTTTGTATTAGTACTCGAAAGAACGACATGAGGTCTTCTGGCTACTCCTGTCAAGCACCCCGCAGTTCAACAAGGTGTGGAGGAAGATGTGGTTCCATCAAAACCGATGAGATGCACAGGGGGTCAGTGACTGGAACACCAAACTTGGAAATGCCTTTTGCTCTATGGACAAGCACAGTTCCCCCGCACACTTGCAGGCACATTAAGAACTGGAAAAAAGAAGGAACACACCTGTTTTTATTGCCCTTCTTGCAGCTTTATAGAGTGGATCATTAACATCAGTGAGCCAAGGCTTTGCACCCAGAGGCATAGACACTTTCAGCTTGTTTGGGCTGTTCCTTTTGGAAAAGACACCCTCCAAGTACTCCACCACCTGCAGGGAAAGCGCATTGCAGTCAGAAGTGCTCAGCTTCTTGCAGCTCGAGCTCACACCCACATTCGCACCTCTGCTCTCGGGTAAGTGCCAGAAACATTCAGTTTACTTCCTCGGGTGTAAATCTGAGAGGCGCTAAGAGGGATGTAGTTTGCACGGTAGAGGCCAAAGAAAAGGTTTGCCTCTTACCTGTTGTTTCACAACCGAAAGGTCCATGTGGGGGACCTGGCGGATTGAGAATTTGCCAATCACTTTTGCTGGAATGACAGTTTTAATTCCCGGTTCATGGAAAGCTCCTTCAATCCCATGAATGGAGAGAGAAGGGTAACGCCACAGGTGTAGAAGTATTTCTTCCTGTAAAAAAAAACAACAACAACAACAACAAAAAACCCAAACCAACATTGAAAATACAAGGGAGCCATTCACAATTGATATAAATTGATGTGAAGAAACTAGCTTTTTCCAGCCTAAAACTTCTATTTGGAGACCACTGTGTTTTAAAGAGGTTTGATTTGTCATTTAAATGCACGCTCATATCTATTCTTTTTTAAAAATACTATTTCTTTCAGTCAACGTTTTTTTACCTTTATAAATATTTGGATGAGAACAGCCTTTCATGCACAGCAATGAAAGTGGAGCATTATTTTAAAATGGTAAAGTTTTCTAGTGCAAATTAAAATCAGAACTTCTGATCTGGCCATCTGTTGATCTCAGAGCTTCCCACAGGAGAAACCTGTGACCAGTTCAGCCAGGCCAGTCCCAGAGAATACCAGGCAAGAAATTCTACTAATGAGCAGTTAAATAATACAAGAGGGTAAGATGATAATGTTCAGCAACCATGTTATCTGGATAAGAAGATAAAAAGGTTTAAAAAAAATAAAGCACAAAAAAGAAAATGTTTGTTCTGAGGAAAAAAAGATAAATATATAAATGATCAATTGGTCTCCATGCAGAACCCCAGGGTGCTGCTCCTTTCCTTCTACTCCAGCTTTATGAGACCAGACCTTTATGTACACATAGAATTTGCACCACTTGATCCTCATATAGATACAACATCAAGCCTTATTTAGTGTAGTTACATTATATTTCTGTATTACTTATTATTACAGTCTAGCTTAGGCTAAGTCAGAAGCTTTCTCATGGAAATAAAATCATCCACGTTAGAGCTTATACCAGTATAATTATGTTAGTAATTAAAAAAAAACCAAATCACCTCTCTCCTTTTTCCAAGCTGCCACTCTTGTGCAGAGAGATTTTTCTAAGCCAGCCCTTACCTGCTGGGTTTTATTTAGAATATGATTTTTAAATGCTGGCAAAGAGAGGCTTATAGCTTTGGGTGCTTTTTTGGCATGCTCAGCAGACATCAAAATCTGAATTAAACAAATAAAACATGCCAGAAACATCAGCCTAAAGCTGCCTCCCATTTTTAAGAGCTGAATACAGCTTCTTTCCTACTATGTAACCTCTATGCAGGGGGTTTAATGCTTATTTTGTTTGGCTGGTTACGGATGGGAGGAGAGGAGGGGTAGTGCAAGGAACAGGGAGCACTACTGTTAGTTTTGCATTATTCCTTTGCATTGATTATTCATATTTCAGATCACTTTCCCCAGATGCAGTAGCTCACATTTTCAGCAGATTAATTTTATTTACCTTTTAATGCTCTGTGCATTGTATTTTGAGTTTGCCATTGACTGAAAAATATCTCAGTTAGTCTTGATACATAAATGCTACAAATGGGTGATTCAAATTCTTTCTGATGAACATTTACGCAGATTTTATGTTACCTTGCTGTCATAGAGGAATTTTTTCACACCGGTATTATTTTTATGTTCTTCTAGGTCAAATTCAATCGATTCATACAATTTCTTCTCCTCCTCCGTTAGGGCAGCGACGCTGTCATAGATTCCAGGGATCTGGATGCGACCTGTAGGATCTACCAGGCTGTCTGCAAAATAAGGCATCGGTACAAGTGGGACATATTTCTTCCACTTGGCAATCACAACACCTTTTCCCTTCTACCCAACTCTTTACCCCACAAGTAAGCTTAACAACTGTTTGCATCCGTCAAGTTGTGGCACCTAACGGTGTATTTTTTGCATATTTTAAGAAAACCACTGAGCTGCTGTTGTTGTGCAGTGTGTGGTGGGTCAGGCCAGCTGCTGACACGAAAACATCATCCTACTGAGATGCAAGTTGGCACTCTGAAGTCAGGTTTCACTACCTGAGTATGTATTCAGGTTGCCAACAATCCTTAAAGATTCTTGATTGGCATCTGAGTGGCAACGGCTTAGCAGGCACATGTCTGAGGTCCTGGCCTTACCAGGAACATTTCCCTCCTCAGCTGCTACCACCTTAACTACGCTGAGATTTGGAAACCTGGGAGCCTGGCTTCAGTTAGACTTGCCTTACTCAACTCAATTAAACTGATCTTCGTTAGACTGATTGCTTGGTGTTGTTCCCCAGTTACTCCTGAGCAATGATGCGTGTTATTACCCAGCAGAGCTATCAGGTCTGTCAGCGGCTCGTGAACGATGCCTCCAAAAGTCCCAGAGTGAAGGTCCTTCCCGCCACATTCAACCTGTACCAAAAACACTGGTTACATATAAACACTCCCTACCTTGTTCTGCTGCGAGCGTTTGTTTTCCACAGCAAATGGTGTCTCCAGTATTTTAAACGGGGTCACAAATTAATAGAAAATGATTATGTGTTTCTGTCTATAAAGTGGAAAACATCATGTCAGGAACAATCTGCTTCGGTGAAGAGAAGATCGGGCTCTGTTATTAACCACTAGAGAGAGAAATTCAGCGGTCTATAGCTCTTACAGGTGCTTGAGAGCAAGGGTCCCACCACATTCCCTCCTTTCCTTCAGTAAGATTAAATACATACGCGAAGCACTTGCATATTACTGTTTCTAATACTGGAGAATAAATTCTTCATGTTCTCTATCCTTTTTAATTTAATGCAAAATCTTCATAACAAAAGGCAAGAAAGAGCCTTACTTGTTTTGCATTAAGAAAATATACGTCCAACCGTAACTCCAGATTGCAACAAATAAGAATTTAGAGGTCTCTCAAGTTGCCTGGCTTTAGAATAGAGAAGGACATTTGGTTTATTGAATGGGTTCTTTTTCCAGATGCATTTTCATATGCAGGGTCATCATAAACTATTTTCCTGCAACGAACTTGTTTGTTCTTCTCAAAATCTCATTACAGCCAACTGTCTGGTAGCAGGCAGAGATCACTTTTGAAGTTTTAATACCATCATTTTTCTTAACCAAGACTGTGGAGACTTGAATCAAGGCTGCCACGGCTCTTTTCGTTAAAAAAAAATTTCATTCTTTTTCAGACATAAAGGTTAATGCAGATTTTTCTTTAGTTCTCTAGTTCTTTAATCTTCTCTCTGAATTCCTTTTATGCTTCATCAGGAAGTTTCCAGATCAGAAATTTCTGCTCTTCATTTCACAGTAGCTCACACTGGCTGCTAAATATACTGCAGTGCACTATTATTTGCTTCTGCCAATGGTTACAAAAATCCTGTGGCACTTAAACCCAGGGATCCAACTGAATTGTGTCCCTTTAGGCAGATGCATTGCGCTAAGCAGTATCTGCTGCAGAGGGGCAGAGCAGCAGAAGAAATGGTTTTGGAGGGAGAGAGTCGGGGGGTACAGGGATGATGCTGCAAGAGAACGGAGTTGATGTGTGGAGGGGGCAATGAGGAAGGAGTGGGGTAGTAATGGGACAGGAAGGGGATCAAGGAGAGAGCTTAAGGGGAGGAATGATGGTCAAAGTTAATGACAGTAAATAAGGCTAACAAATGAAATGAGGAGGGAAATCTGCACAAGAAAAGGATACAGAAGAAAGGTCTGAATGTGTAAATATTAAGCTTGGTCTCAGTCTTCCTCTGCATGCAGACATAGATGTGATTACAGGTTCATCACTGCTCACCAGTCAGGGGCCCACTGAAATGAGCCCGTGTCCTTTACCTCCACAAAGAAGCAGGCATTTCCCCGACTCCCGTAAGTAAGAGCAGGCTTCTTGTTGCTGAGCCAGAGGTTGTCCGAAATCACAATATAATCAACATCAGAGAAAAAGCACTGGTTTTCTTCTTCAAGTAACTTTTCTAGCCCCAAGGACCCTGCTTCTTCCATGCCTTCAATTACAAACTTGAAGTTTACTGGCATAGCCTAAATGAACAAGAGAAGTCTGGGTAACGGACAAGCATTTTCAAAAATAATTAAAAAACCCACCCAAAACCCAAACCAAAACCAACACCCAACTTTAAAATCAAAAGCAGACTGGCTTGCAGTACACCTTGTGTTACAAAAAGAAAGACATGGAATATATAGCTTGCTTCAGTAGAAAGGATAGTGATAAATATACACATACATTTTCCCAAAAAAACTTGTTTTTCCTTATATTTTTATCTACTTTTCATTTTTTAAGGAGAGTGGGTTTTTTTTATTTTTCCCTTCTTTATGTTTTCAGAAGACTTGCTGGTCTGTCTGTAAATGGTCTTTCTCTCAGTACTCTGAAGTATTCTAATAGCTTTGGAAAGTCTGTGTAATAACAGTTGCATTGTCACAGAAAATTTCCTGCCTCTCATATTCCCATATTCTCATTGCTCATGCAGGAACCACTGGCAGTGGCCCACTGCTGCGGTTTTCCCAACATGTTATCCATCGCCAGAGTTAGTCACACGGCAGTAAATTTGCTACTGGTGATTCTGCTGTAATTGTCCTTCTAGCACTCATGAATCCGTATGCCTGCTAGCTCATAAGGATGCATTTCCAAGGGTAATTAAGAGAACCTTTATTATGTAATAGTGAGAGTTAGAAATGCTGACCTGTCCCATAGGAGAAATAAATTTGATCTTAGCTTCCCATTCCAATTCTTTTTCTCATTACGGGTTTTAAGATGTCTTCTGTGTGGATTCAACGCTCAGATTAAACCCAGCAACAAATGTGTCGAATTAAATGAAACTCTGTTATGGATGGGTTCACCAATGTTTCATCAAATGGCCACAAAAAAAAATTAGAAACAAACTGTTAATGAATATTGTCTGATGGTCTGTGCTGTTTTCTAGGGAAAGGCTTCAAATGACAAAGATTTCTTTTTGCTCGCTTGTTAAAGTACCGTAATATCTATTGGTGATTCAAAAAAAAAAGGAAAGATGCTGAAAGACAGCCCCATAGCCACTAAAAATAGCTAATTTGCAGGAAAGTAGCAATGGGTGTGTTTGCTAGCAGTTAGGGACACTGAGGGCAAACCAGTACTACTAATGCAAGAAAAACAGCAGCTTTTCCAGAAGGTTCAAAGAGGACTTTAAAAGTTAAGACTTAGGCTGAATTTGTGCCACAGTGTCATAACAGAGGCACAGCACTGTTAACATAACGCATTGTGCCAGTGCACCCAAAAGGATGCTCGCTAACCAAGTCTGAAGCTTAGACTGTATGATGGTTTAGCTATGCACTGGGGATACAACTAGCCCAAAATTATTAAATATCCAGACTGATTCAAAGATAAGTATGTTGGTCACTGTAGTAATTCAGGAAAAAGTTTGATTCTTAGAGATACATCAGTCTCTAAGCGAGTATATTTGTACTTGATTAGTGCACCCATTCAAACATTAACTTTTCTAAATCTGATAGATTGTTGAAAGAACAGGCCGTTACGTATGAGCATTTTTTGATAATTGTTCTCTTCATGCATCCACGTAAATTGAAGGTAACTTGTAAGGAGACAAACCCAAAGATCAGCAGAATGTAACAGTAGAGATGAATCTTCATGTACAACCTGTGCTCTATGTTATTTTACCATTTTAAAAGCTCTCAAGAGCATAGGGTATCAAAGCTTTTTAATATATGTAATATATATTGAATGCTCCTCCCAAGGCATTGACAGCAATCCCGTATTCACATCACGTACAGACCGTTCAAAGTAGAAATCATAGAATCACAGAATGGTTTGGGTTGGAAGGGACCTTAAAGACCATCTAGTTCCAACCCCCCTGCCATGGGCAGGGACGCCTTCCACTAGACCAGGTTGCTCAAAGCCTCATCCAGCCTGGCCTTGAACACTCCCAGGGATGGGGCATCCATAGCTTCTCTGGGCAACCTGTTCCAGTGCCTCACCACCCTCTCCATGAAGAACTTCTTCCTGATATCTAATCTAAACCTCCCCCCTTTCAATTTAAACCCATTACCCCTTGTCCTGTGCACAAGGACAGATTCTTACTGAACTGGGACCAGTGCCCTGGATATAGCATTAGACATAAGCTGGTATTTCAAAATGCATGTAGTCTGTTGGGACAGAGACTGATCGTCTGACTCACACGAGGGTAAAGGCATCCCTCCAGAGAGAAGTGCTGTAACAACAGCCGTAATAATTCTTCATGGATACCTACTAATTTCAAGGCTCTAAATGTTTCCACAGCATTTATCCAAGCTAAGACAGGTCCTTTATTATCAGTTGCTCCACGCCCATACAGATTTCCTTAAAAAGAAAAGAAGAAGGTATTTAGGCAATCTTTGAAACTTCAGTCATCACTTCAATGTAATCAGCAAAATCCTCTTGCCACAGAAGCTGTAGAGGTGTGTCAACTGAAGCACCAAAAGGATCAGGATTTCATTGACTTGCTTTAAATAAGCTGATGGGTGTTTCCCAGCAGGCTGGGACCCTTTTTTACCATCCCTTTCATACACACCATATTGTGGTGTCTGCTGTTTACTTTTGTTCTTAGATGTTTGTTCACACCAGACATGCTTGGAGAGTTTGCACAATATGCAGCTTCTGTGCATGTCAGCCAACCCAGGCCACGAGCAGCAAAACCTCCACAGACAGATACTATTGTCAAAGTACAAAGCTACAAGTCTAGGTACAGAAGGTTTTTTTAAAGCATTTGTCTGTTGTGCTGGATTCAGCCAGGA